AGTAACTCAAAGTACCCTGAGCCTTATTTCATGACGGTTGATGTTAAAATTATTCCAGTAACATTTGAGATTGATACAGGATGTCCACTGACAATAGTAGTATATACAATGATGGTACGGGACCAGGTACCCCCAAGGGCTCAATATTTTAAATTGAGCCCTTGGGGAGGCCCTAATCCCGTACCATCATTGTATATACTACTACTGAGTTGCATGCAATATTTGACGAAAATCGGTCGAATAGTTTCTGAAATATTGACTTTGAAGTGAGCATGGGGTCGGCCGGGAAAAATCAAGGCCTTTGATTCACACACACACACAATGATGACAATAATCATACAGTGGGCGATCGAAAAGGGACTGTGTCGTGAGGTACGATCATCAACTCCCCGTAAACACAATGGTGGTACTTTTCCACAATGGAAAAAAACAAAAGGTGCACCTCCACTCAAGAGTTGAGTATATAGGGACACTCTTTGTTTGCATTGGGTTTTTCTTTGCGATCCCAGTAGTCCTTCCAACCCCAAGACAGGTATACGGAAAGCAAAAATGGAGTCCAGTGCAGAAAAACAACAACAGTATGTCGATGGGGTTTGGACCACTCTCGTGCTGTTTCTCCATCGGCGAAGGTGCTCTCGAATTAGAGATACACTAGGTACATAGGTATAGAACACAATAAAATGTCCAGAACCAAGCTATCGCACGAAGCCTACACTGAGATCCAATCAGGTCGTTTGTCCCTTCGGGAAGCAAAGAGGAAGTACCACATATCGCAAGCCCGATACACACGAATCCGTGGCAGCTCCGAGAGAACTCCCGACATGGTCGAAGTCTTCGAGAGCCTGCTGGAGAAGTGTCCCCATGTATTGCTTTCGGACCGAGAGAAACAAATCCTGGAGAAATCGGGACACACCTTCTACGAGCACTACCAGATACCTCACCAGTTTCTGGAACTGTATTTGCTGTACTTTCACCCATTCGTCGAAGACGGCAAAATAGTGGATTTCGTCTACCTCTTCCCACCCAACCAATTTCACCCCTTGGCGGGCAAACTCCGCATCGTTCTCGCGGACGACTACTGTTGCCCAGCAGAACCCAAGGACAGAAGACACCACCGATGCACCGACTGCCTGACCACCATATCGGAACTCCCCACTCTCTTTGAGCGAGACAACTGTACGTGCAAGTGCGGTGCCATCGACCACTGTGTCGACAGCAAGAAATGCGTTCTGTGGAAAAACAAAGCGATATAAAGACTACACACCACCCCAGGAGGATCGACTTCCACTCGAGTCTCCGGAAGAAATCCCAATCCACTACTTTCTCTCGAACATAGAGAACCTTTGCAGGCTAGGCAAAATCTGCCACTCGCCCATAACGAAGAGGAAAGATGATGGAGAAGTCGAGTTGCTGCTCCCAGAGCGGGAATAGCTTCTATCGAGAATAGATATTATTTGTTTTCTTTCTCCCCTACTGCATGTGGAAGGGGTGCACGAAGGGGTGGACCGTGGAAACTGGTTTGGGCGTCTTCTTCTCTTCGTGGACTGGTGTGCTGTGCTTCCAGGTCTTGTGGACGACCGTCCAGAGAAAAATGGCAACTAGCGAAATATAGAGCCATCTTTGGGTCGATTCCACCATCTGCCCCACCTTCTGGATATCGAAATTGGTCTCTTCTTCTTGTTCCTCCTCCATTTCCTCGTGGAGGAGTTTGGAATCGTTGTTTTTGTCGTCATCCAGCCTAGACAAGTCGTCGACCAACATATTCGTGGTTTGCCTCGCACGAGTCTCGATCTTCCCCAGGCAGTTGTAGAAGTCCTGGATGGTTGGCAATGTATTACCGGGTATTGCTACTTTCGATCTATCTCGAGTCACCTTGTGGCAATGGTTCGATGACCGGCAATGATACTTCTGGTGGTGGTGGTACTTCTTCTTCGACTGGCGGCATGGTTGTGGTTTCCTCGATCGGATCTCGCCCTTTGGGGGACCTGATCCCGTACCATCATTGTATATACTACTACAATTGTAAACGAAGAAACTGCAAACAAACTTTGACTTATGACATCAGTGTTACAGGATAACTGTGTACCACTTACAAGTTACACAGGACAGGAAGTATACTTGTAAGGTTTCACAGCTGTGGATGTTACATACCAAGGCCAATCTTACACACTACAAGTGGCCTTATCTCAAGGTAATGGACCGAATCTGTTAGGCAGAACATGGATATCAGCAATGGACTTTGACTTGAGAGATTCTTCTGTGAGTTTTGTCCAAACTTCTACTTTGTCACTTCAAGATGTGTTAGATAAACATGCTACTATTTTTTAAGAAGGTCTTGGGACACTGAAAGGGTTTAAAGCTCATATTTATGTGGATCGAGACGCTACTCCTAAGTTTTACAAAACAAGATCAGTGCCGTATGCTTTATGTCAGAAAATAGACGTTGAACTAAATCGCTTACTCCAGGAAGGTATTTTTGAGCCAGTGAATTACTCAGAATGGGCCTGTCCTATTGTACCAGTGCTAAAGCCAGATTCAACAGTCAGAATCTGCGGGGACTTCAAACTGACAGTGAATCGTGCCTCAAGATTGGAACAGTACCCGATACCTACCTTGGAAGACTTGTGTACTAGACTATCAGGAGGGCAGAAGTTCTCAAAACTTTATATGAGTCATGCATATCAACGGCTTGTCTTGGATGAGGAGTCTAGGATGTATGTTGTGGCCAATACACACAGAGGATTTTTTAGATATACCAGACTACCCTTTGGAGTTTCATCTGCACCTACTATATTCGAATGATTGAAAACCTACTGCAAGGAATAAAACCTTGATGACATTATCAATCCGGGGATGAATGACAATGAACCTTTGCAAATCTTGGACCAAGTGTTGCATAAATTGTCAGATGCAGGACTGCTCTTGAGAAAGGACAAATGTGTGTTCTTAGCTGATGAAGTGGAATATCTGGGATACAGAGTAGATAGTGCAGGTTTTCACCCAGTGGAGAAGAAGATTTCAGCAATTCAGAATGCCAAGAAACCAGAGAATGTGAAAGAACTCAGTGCTTATCTTGGGATACTGAACTATTATCATAGATTCCTGCCGAATCTACCAGACACACTATCCCTTGTACAAGTTGCTACAGAAGGATGTCAAGTCGAAATGGGAAAAGCCTGAACGCCAAGCATTTGGGAAGTCTAAGAGAAACCTACAGTCATCGGATGTACTCATACACTTCGACAGTAGCAAACCTCTACTACTACAGTGCGATGCATCGCCCTATGGTGTTGGATTGGTGTTAGCACACAGATTACCTGATGGTACATAAAGACCTATCAGTTTTGCTTCTAGGACACTATCTAAAGCAGAACAGAATTATTCTCAGTTGGATAGAGAAGGCTTGAGTGTGATATTTGGACTTCGCAAGTTTCACAAATATGTGTACGGTAGATATTTCGAGATTGTTACAGATCACAAGCCATTGATCTCATTATTCAGTGAACATAACCCTGTGCCTCAGATGGGTTCACCCAGAGTGCAGAGATGGTCTGTACTACTGAGAGTGTATGATTACACAATTGTGCATAAGAATGGTACAGCTCACACCAATGCGGATGCATTGAGTAGGATACCAGCTCCAGATTCAGGTGAACCTAAACCTGAAATGACTGTACTCATGCTTCATCAACTTGAAGAAACGCTACCCGTGAGATCTGAAGATATTCGCAAAGAAACGGAGAAAGACAAAACATTGTGTCTTGTTCGCGAATATGTAATCCGAGGTTGGCCTGGACGAAGTAATCTTGAAACCTGCTGGGAACAGTACTACAAAGTTAGAACTGAACTGAGCGTCATGGATGGATGCCTATTCCGAGGTTCAAGAGTAGTGATCCCTGGAACTCTCAGACCAGTGATACTGTCTGAACTTCACCAGTCACACCCTGGAATAACCAGAATGAAAGGCCTCGCCCGCAGCTATGCACGGTGGCGTCATCTTGATACAGATGTGGAAAACATTGTCAGCAGTTGAGACAGTTGCCAAGAAAACAGAAACTCTCCAAGCAACGTTCCTCTACATCCTTGGGAGTATCCTTCGAAACCCGAGCAAGGAGTGCATATGGACTATGCTGGTCCATCCATGGGACATACGTTCCTGGTGATCATTGACTCGTATTCCAAGTGGATTGAATGTTTTCCAGTAACGTCATCTACTGCGTCATCAACCATCAACCAGCTACGTCGACTGTTTGCTGCCTACGGATTACCTGAAACAGTTGTAATGGATAATACTGCATCTTTTGTGGGAGAGGAATTTGCCATGTTAATGTCAAAGAATGGTGTAGAGCACATCACGACTTCGCCAGAAACGGGTTAGCTGAGAGAACAGTACAAATAGTTAAAGAGGGATGGAAGAAAATGGAAGGTGACTCGGCTGCTACCGAACTTCACAGACTACGTTCTAGATTGTACTTGATGTTTCCAAATCTGGAGCAGAAGGTGAAGAAAAGCCAACGTAAATTGGTTGAACAGTCTTCAAAAGTGAAATGCAGAGAATTTCAAGTGTCTGACCATGTGCAGTCTTTCGCAGTCGTCACCCAGTCGACATGGTGTGTGGTTTGTGCATGTGCATGGAACAATAAATAATTGACGAACCTAACACAAACAAACAGCATTCGTATGTTCTAAAATATTATTGAAATTGTATGCAAAATATCCCTTTCTCTAAAAATGTTTCTAGAAAGTGAAAATGGTCAGAAATTCACAATGTGTATCCTGGGCCTCAGCTATGAAAACTAATACCCATGATGCTATTCAGTGTTTATATACACACTGGGGCGGTGGGGTAACCTAGTGGTTAAAGCTCTCACACCTGACCCGGGTTCGATTTCCCACATGGGTACAATGTGTGAAGCCCATTTCTGCTTGAATACTGCTAAATGTGGCGTAAAACCCAACTCACTCACTCACACACACAGGTCATTGTGAACTACGATAAGCCAGATATTGAAATGCTCACCACTCGAACATCAGCCTTGCTGTGCGACTGACGTGATACGGACGCACTGCGCACAGGGACACAACAGTCACGCCACAGGTAAATACTTTGAACCGAATGTTGAATTACACATAAACCACGTACAAACGTTTATGTAAATTCCCGTGATGATTTTTCAAACATCGAGTTGTAAAGATAACAGATGAAAACCCGACACTTTCATGTTTCAAATAGATTTACTTGAGGCCTGAGATGTGATATTTGACATTTAGATTATAGCATATTTTACAAGTATTGACACACAATATATATAAACTGTTCCCGCGCCTTCTGTATTTGCCTGTCTTGCGTGTATCAGGTCAATAAGTCATGGGTGGGTAATGTATGAGGATGTTTGACGACAACATGGAGAGATAGACAGGGGATGTACGGTTCCAATTTACTTCCTTGTGTATCGCTGCGTGTAACCGCGCTGCTTTGCAATTGTATAGTAACTTATCAGCAGCCTAGCCTGGGTCACGCTGCAAACGTCAACACGGCCACTTATTAGTGGACATTGATCTTTGCCTGAAATAAGATAAATTACATGACAGTCATGTGACTGAAAACATGCATATTTTGTTAAGACAATCTGTTGCACATCTTTTGCATTGAAATTGTTTTAGAAGTATTCGAGAACGCGACCTTCGACCAAATGTTGCGATCATCATGTGTGTTGTACTCTCTTACTTCACAGTTTTCAAAATGCCGGAAGTGGACATTCCTTCTTTCAGTTCCGAAGTTAAGTCTTGCTACAAGCTACAAAAGGAACTGGCTCAGGAATTACGTGACTTTGCTGAAAACCTGAAATCTAAACAGAGAAAACTTGACATTGCAAAACTCACTTCCTCAAATGTTGGTCTCGTTGGTGGGGTTTTTGCAATTGCCGGTTTGATTCTGGCGCCCGTTACTGCAGGGGCCTCATTAGGCCTGACCATAGCTGGGGGCGTAGTAGGAGGAGGTGGTGCCGTGTCAGGTTTGTCGTCCATGATTGTTGAGTATCGCATCACCAAGAAAGCTGAAAAACACTTATCTCAAAGACTTCATGATTATGCGGAAATGTCAGAAGATATTAACTCAAAACTGAATACGCTAATTAAGACACTGCAAGAATCAGAGAAGGATGTTCTGCAAGGTCAAATTGAAAAAAGTACTTTTATCAACAAGGAGACAAAGAACGATATCATTGGAATGATCAGAAGCACTGAAAAAATATCATTTCCTCTGGGTCTTGCAGCCAGAGGGGCAGTAGTTATCATATCAGTCAAGGACGTGGTTGACTCGGTAATCAAGGCGGTTAAAATTACCAGGGCAACTAAAAGGGCTGTTGATGTTGTTGGGAGTATTGCAGCTGGTGCTGAGGTATCTGCCAGAGTTTTCTCTGCTGGAAGATCTGTAGGAACGGCTACTGATGTTGGAACTGACGTCACTTCCGCTGCTGGGAAGGCCGCCACGGCCGGTAAAGCTGCAGCAGCCGGGGTGAAGGTCGCAGGTGTGGTTCTTGCCGCTGCCGGAGTGGCAGTAGATCTCGGTGCTGTTATTTACTACAGTCGTAAAATACACAAAAACGAACCCTCAAAGATTGTAGAGAACATCTTGAAAGTGGCTGATTGTCTGGACACAGAATGAGGGAAGAAACAGCCACAATCACAATCCAGGCTACCATAGAAATACATGTGTGGTAAATATGTAAACCATTTCGACAAGCCTGAATACCAGATTTCATTAATCGCCTCTTACTATAAACATGGGTTGTGGAAGACCAATTCTAACCTGGAATACCACAAATAATGATTGATTGAAACATCCCGGTGCCACGCAGTTCGCGTCTACCTATTTCTCAACCCTTGTAAGTGTGTATTGGGTGGTTTGGCAACAGTTTTGCCATAGTTTTGCCAATTACTATTTGCACAAATTATTCTCATTGCAATGAAATGAATAATCGTGCAGTATAGTTCACACTCTCTCTGTACAAATACGTAGCTTCACTACGTACCACTATATTGATATTCAAGTATGTAGCACGAGAGAATTCACCTATCTGTGATGAGACTGACAACGATGGTACATCAATCCAAGAAGAGTATGTTACCACCATCAGATCGGATTATCTAGAGGAGCATGTTCTCCTGTCAGGTGATTTTACTGCCAGGATGAAGCAGTTTCTAGATTTTATACTTGATGACAACATATACTGCGTGTATGATGCTGATGACTATCCTAGTGATGGTATCGCTATTTCAAGATCCACTAAAGAGCTAATCGATCATTTGGAATCCATACATTAAATGTATCATGATAAGTCTGGTGAATCTACATGTGTCACACATAACGGTTCAAGTGTTGCTGACTATATGCTAGTCAGCTCATCACTATTTCCTCCTGTAACTGACTTCGGAATCGGAACTCAGGACCTTTCCTGTCATTTCCCTCTGTACTGCATCCTCGATATTCCTTCAATCTACTCTGTTTCACACTCAACCTACCGCCTCTGCACAACAAAGTGATACTCAACAGAATAGCGAAGGGGGTAACTGAGTTAACTATGTGTTTTCTAAAGAAACAACCAATTTTTGACTAATTTCAGCCGATCATTCATGGATACCCTTGATAGACTGAACAAACTTGTATATACCGACATTAATGAACCAGTGAGTTTATTTGTCAGTGTTTCCAGGAGGCAGGAGTTCATACCAGGACTGTGTATCACAACAGATACAGCAGGAGTTCTAGTGATAAATCTCAACCTCCAAGGTGGGATGCAGAGTTGGAGCAATTAAAACATGATAAATATTCTGCACTAAGAGTTCATAGAGACAATAATCAAGATTTGGATCTATTGAGGCAACTCCGTAATTTGTTCAAGAAGACAGTCAGTATCAAGAGAGCTAATTACATGCATAAACAGAGACCGAAGCTTGTGGAAGCAAGCAATAACCCTAAAAGTTTTGGAAATTAGTCAAACAGAATAAAAAGTCCAGTAATATATCTGCCTCAATTTCTTGTCAACAGTGGTTTAATAACTTTTTATCCTTACTTTGTGTCAATCAAACAGGCGTTGTTGACTCTATTCCAATTGGCATATGTCTCAGTTGCACTCAACCGCGCAAAATTGGTCATAACTTAATGCAGCAATTACTCAACAAGAAGTTTGTATCATGTTATGAATATTCCTAATAATAGTAATAAGTCACCAGGACCTGATGGAGTGGCTGGAGAATTTCTTAAAGCTTCTAGTAATTATATTGTACCCTTTCTTACTTCCATTTTAAATGGGGGCGGTGGGGTAGAATAGTGGTTAAAGCGTTGGCTCGTCACGCCGAAGACCCGGGTTCGATTTCCCACATGGGTAAAATATGTGAAGCCCATTTCTGGTGTCCCCCGCCGTGATGTTGCTGGAACATTGCTAAAAGCGGCGTAAAACTAAACTCAGTGAGTCAGTATGTTTTAAATGAAATATTTGACAGTGGTAATTTCCCTAAAACATGGAGCAAGAGTATGATATGTCCTTCATTAAATCTGGCTGTAAAGATGACCCCAATAATTATAGAGGCATATCCCTCATTGACTCTATTTGAAAAATGTTTGCTTTTAATTTGAATAAACGCCTTCAGAAATTGGGTGATTTTAATGAAATTATTAGTGAGTCCCAAGCAGGCTTCAGAGATAATTATTCTACGACTGATCATATATTTTCCCTCCAGGTGTTAATTCAGAAATATTCTTGCAAAAGGAAGGGCAGATTTTATTATCTTTTTATTGATTTTTCCAATGCCTTTGACACTATTAACTTCCCTGTTTAAAGTTGGTATGTGTGGTAAATTTGTTCATTTTATAAAAAGAATGTATCAGAATTTATCAGCTTGTGTTCAAAAGGCTTGTCTAAATGTTTTCTTGTAATATTGGTACCCGTCAAGGTTGTGTTTTAAGCCCACAATTATCTTCATTAACAAGTTATGTACTTTAATGGAGCAGGAGGGTGGTTCAGGTGTAACAGTTCCATTAGATTTTAATAATTTATGTTCACTTATGTTTGCTGCTGATGTTTCATCCCTGTCTGATACATGTAACCAATTACAGAAAAATATTGATGTTCTGGAGAAATTTTGTAAATTCACTGGTATGTCAGTTACTCTTAAAAATATTCTTGTTTTTAGAAATGGTGGACCTCTAAGAGATTATGAAAAAAATGGCATTATAATTGTAAACAAATTGAATCTGTATCTTTTTATAAATATTTATGACTTGTATTTACACCAAAACTTGTATGAAGTAAAGTCCATATGTGTCTTGTTTCTCAGGTCAATAAGGCATTATTTTCTATAAATAATTTGACTAAGAAAAATGGGTAGTGTCAATTCTAAAGATTTGTTTAAAATATTTGATTGTATGATCTCACCTATATTATGTTATGGAGCTGAAGTTCGATGCACCAGTTATTGTAAACTTATAGAGAGAGTCTGTACAAATTAAATTTTGTAAGTAGTTTTTAAAATTTGGTAAATTTACTTGTAATGATATGGTACTTGGAGAATGTGGTAGACTCCCTTTACAAATTGTTTATATGACTAAGGTTATCAAATAATGATGTCATTTATTGTACTTACCTCTAAATAGACTCCCAAAACACTGTTACGAAATGCTGAAATCATTAGATGATGTTGGATGTGTAACTTGGGCAACTAATGTTAAAAATGTTGTATTCACTTATGGTCTAGCTATGCATGGGTCGTGAGGATATTGGATATGTTAAGTATTTTATGTTCCATTTTAAACAAAGACTAACTGATAATTAAAACCAATCCTGGTATACTTCCATTGTAAATTCACATAAAACTATTCATTATTGTCAGTTTAAAACACTATTAGATGTAGCAAAATGCTTAAATTGTAATATTTGCTTAAATTTGAGATCTGCCCTATCAAAATTCAGATGAGGAAATTTTAATTTAGCAATAGAGACTGTCAAGATATGAAAATATTGCTTCTGATGAAAGATTTTGTTTATTTTGTAAATCAAAAGGTATTAATGTTGCTGAAGATGAATGGCATATTTTGTATATCTGTTTTTTATGCTTGTTTTTCTGATATTCCAGTTAAATATATTGTGAAATATTTTAGTCAGCTTCCATGATAAACAACTTTATAAATATTATGCAATTGATGTAATTAAGAATGCTAGTTTATGTATATATTATGTACAAATTAGAATTAAAGGGCAGACCATTTTTATAAATTCATGTCTGCCATTCATGTGATGTGTTATCCTGCATGTGACTGTATCATGGGCCAGTGGGCTTTTAATGAATAAAACTGTCTGTCTGTCGTAGCTTTACTTACTTCATTTACTCAACGATTGATATTCCGTGTCCATCTTTATAAAGAGAATAAAGATTGATTGATTGACTTAATTCTGTAAGCAATTATCGGATTTCTAAGTGTAGCTTTACTCATTCAAATGGTGACAGTTCGTTTAACGAAAGCTAAAAAATCTTTCCAAGAGTGATTCGCAATGAGGCCCCCATTACACCAACAATTAACTGTCGCTGGCTTGATTATTGCGGTTAAGCTTTCTCTTGTTTCTTTGCGGGCGGCAGTTGGAGTGATTAGATTAAATGCCTTAATTGGTTCATCAAGTTTTTATAGTTGTGTTTTGAGGTTTCGTTGTGGACACATTTGTTCCGCTTGATTTGGTATCTAATGTGTTGTCTTAATAAAACTGAGTTGACCATATTCCTTTCACCTTCATTTCTAGTTTTTATTCCACTAGACTCCTGGCATAGGCAGTTGTAACAATGGTAATCCCCATAGGGCATCAGTTTAATGATGGACATGATGACCAGAGAGTCATGCAGTCAAGGGTACGAATTGCTTGAAGAACCTGTGTTTGATGAACATAAAGAAGTTTCTGGATTTTATCTTCTTTTATTCTTTGCTGCAACGTTTCGGGGCGTGTTTATCATCAGATATAACTAATGAACAGGAAGGGCATCAATTTTTTTTCATGTGTATTAACACGGAAAAACTAGACAAAGTTTTACCAATATTTTATAACGATATGCGTTATTGAAAACTGGAAATATTACAGACTAACCGACTACGTTCCTCAATCTTAAACCTGCCAAGGGTCACATTGATAACGAGCATCGGACTTAATCCGGGACCAGTATCTCTAAAGCTAACAGAACCAAGGTGCATTACGTTTATCTGTCTTTACGGCTGTTTGTATTCCACGTTGGTCAAATCACGTGCGTGCCACATATACCTTCGTGGCATACTCGCGACTGGCCATCGATTCTTCGGTCCAACTAAATGACATAATCTGACGTTCACAATAACAACGTTATCGTAAGTTTTATCTGTAAACGCGATTATTTGCGATAGCTAGAATAGATATATATTACGGATGACAGTCACAAATCAGGGGGTGGCTGTCTAGTAAATTCACTCAGGTAAGAAACTTTACTTCCTTCTACTTTGACATACTATTGTTATTCTATGTTAACTTTAACCTATTGTAAATACATTAACTATAAGTTACCACCCTTGGCAGTACCTTCAGGTTTATGTGGAACAAGGCATCCCTTAGTATGTGTCTCATATCTTCTGTATTACAGTTTAGGATTGTTTATTTGATACTGATTTACACTACACTGTTTTGTGACTATTATAGAATGTATAGAGTGTATCGGATATTTTAACTATTGTATTACGTTGTGAACACTATGCTGTTTGGGACCGTTGCAGAATGTAGATTGTATGAACCCCCACTGGGGTGATGTGTAGTGTACTGAACTATTGTTGTGTACATTGGAATATGTGTCGCGATTAATGTAGTATGTGTCGTGTGTAACGAATCTACATGTAATTTACTTTGATAGCTGATTGCATTGTTAACATGTTCTAATAATTAATCATAAACCATACTATTATTGATTGATTATGTAAAATCATCCTGTGACTGCTGTGTAATAAACTCCTTGTTTATTTTACTCAGGTGTTGTGTTGTGTGTGGGTTGGTATAGTCATACTCTTGCCAAGCGAGCTGATTCCCCAACACTCGCGTTTTAACAAGTGGCGGAGAATCAAAAATCGGCCTATGGCTACATACCAACCCACAAATGACAACACCAGGAGCCGGACACAGCCAGAGCCACAGCCACGGCCGACCTCCGACCCTGTCACAGAATCCAGCGGCCTTGACGAACTACTGGAGGACCTTACAACAATAGCTTCGGGCCCAAACACTGACAGCGTTAATCCTCCCGTAACTATCAACGGAGACGGGATTGCGTCGGCCCCAAACACTGACGGTGGTCATCCTCCAGTCACTATCAACGAAGACGGGATTGCGTCGGCCCCAAACACTGACGGTGGTCATCCTCAAGCCGTGCCACATCACACACAGTCCCCCAATATGGCATACGTGAGTAATCTGGTGCCAAAATTCAACGGTACAGGCAACGCCCGACAATGGCTGAAGAAGATGGATTGTCTTAGACAGCACCAATCACTGAGTGATTCAGTCTACTTGAATCTCCTGCCATTGTATTTAGATGGACCCGCTGCTACTTGGCTGGACTCGCTTCATCCAGCCCCAACAACCGCAGCCCAATTCTAAGCCGTCTTTACTCGTAGGTTCACCGATGTCACCTCACAGACAGCTTTCCTGTCCGCCCGCCAAAATAACACCGAGTCCGGGCCTGCCTTCATTGAACGCGTCCAGGAGAAGACAGTCGGCCTCCAGATCCCCGAGACCGTCCTTGTTCAGGTCATCATCAATGGTCTGCAGCCTCCTTTAAAGGGATTGGTTATTCCCCATGGTCCAGAGTCACTGGAGGCATTGTCACATCAGGTGAGACAAGCCATCTCATCTGTGACGTCACCTGGGGTTGACAACAATCAACTGGCCACCATCGCTGCTCTGTTGACAACACAACAGCGGCAACTTGACAGGTTGACTGCTCAGATGACCCACGTTCCACAGAGGCAGAATGTCAAGAGATATGCCAGCCGGGAGCCGCCTCACCAACCTAGGGTCAACACTCGTCGTTCTGCACAACCTCTGCAGCAACAACAACGGCAACAACAACAGCGGAGCAGCTACAGACAACCTTCAGGTAATTGCCAGGGTTGTGGTCACAATTGTCGGTCTACATTTTCATGTCCATCCTCAAATCAGCAATGTAGTTATTGTCATGGGTTACATCACTTTGCTAGGGTATGTCGCCTAAGATTGAATCAGCAATAGGGATTCGCGCCTGTTGGTAGGCCCTTGCCTACGAGCAGGCACGCCTTGAGAGCCGCTAGGCGTAAGAATACGTCTAAATCTTCTTTCAGCAGGCATACCAGTACCCCCAAATCCTCTAGTACATCCCATCAGTCACAGATTAAGAATACAGTGTATGTAAAGGTTGGTGATTTTCGCTGTCATGCCTTAGTAGACACAGGTGCCACCTTGTCAGTTCTATCTCTTCCCACTTTAAAAAGGGCAGGTATTCCCCTGTCCCAGATGTCGGACAGTACGCTCTCACATTGTAGCGGTGTTGGGGGAGAGCACATTAAGGTACTTGGGTCAGTTAGGATTTCCCTCTCCATTGGTGGTATGCCGATCGACCACAACTTTTTAGTTCTCAAATCAGTGCAACATTCAATCATCCTAGGGCAAGATTTCCTCACTCAAAATGAAGCCATCATAGACTATACAACTCGCTCGTTATTTGACCAACGTGGAATACAAACAGCCGTAAAGACAGATAAACGTAATGCACCTTGGTTCTGTTAGCTTTAGAGATACTGGTCCCTGATTAAGTCCGATGCTCGTTATCAATGTGACCCTTGGCAGGTTTAAGATTGAGGAACGTAGTTGGTTAGTCTGTAATATTTCCAGTTTTCAATAACGCATATCGTTATAAAATATTGGTAAAACTTTGTCTAGTTTTTCCGTGTTAATAGTATCCCCCTGTTCTTTTAAAATTTCGTCCCGAAATTTCAATGAACAAAAATGACATCATACGGTACATTACGAGTGATGAGTAAATTGCGGTACGGAAACAACTGGT